AAACTGACAAGTAACATACCAAGATCAAAGACACGCCTGTAGTCTTTGATAAATCCAATCACTTTCTCATCATATTCAAAACCTGGGTTCCACACCAATGAACCATAGCCAAAAATCCAGAAAACCATTTTCGCTTATCTCCTGAGAAAGGTCACCATTCACATAATTAAAAACAAACTACAAGGCTAATCCCAAATCATAACATTATAATTCCCGGGAAAAAAAAATATTTTCAGGAATCAACACAAATAACAGTAGTTCCGATGGGCCATATTCTCCAAGTTCAAAAATTACTGCAAAAGGCACAAACCCAGTTCCTATCCTACGGGATTGCATCTAAAATGTCGATCAGAAACATTTCCCTCAGTAAAAGATTCTCACTTTTGGCCACACCACATAAGACTGAAGCAAGAATTACATTAGATTATAAAATCAATGTTCGAAAAGTAAAATGACAATAAACAACCGACACTGTTTCATGGACAGAAAATGGAGAGGCAAAATAAAAATAAAAGGAAATCTGAAAGAACAAAAGATGAAATCGAAAAGGAAAGACAAAAGGATGGTGATTACAAGGAGTGGAGCAAGAAGGAGCCAATGTTGTGCGATCCAAGAGGGCAAAATGTGAGATTTATGAAGATGGTGGCTGAAGGGCAATGGCCAGTCAGCTGGTTGGCGGGATAATAGAGAGGAAACAAAGAGGGGGGGGAGAGATGAAATCGGGGCTTAAAGGATCCCTCTCTCTATCTCTCTCGCCTTGGTTTCTTCTGGTCTTTGAGGATGAAGGGATTGCTAGAGTGGCGAAGATAGAGCCTATTTATCGAGGAAGGAAAGGGGTGATGAGAGGCCTCTTCAAGTTGTTGTGCGGCCAACTCGACCCAACCCCTCGACCACGATTCCATGCCTATGCCACCTATGTGTAATATGTATGTACTATGTATGCATGCATGCATGCATGTATGTATTTCTCTTGCATGCATTTTTTTTCTTTAAAAAACCAATTTAATTTTCTAAATAAAAAACACTAACCAAAGTAAGTCGAGGAAAAACATAACCAATTACTACGGATTTTCATGTTAGCTTTTATAGAAGTAGTATCTTGACCTAGTTCTTATACATTGAGATTAAGTCTTTCTCTTTGATTTAATAAAAAAAAAGAGATTATATAATAAGATTAACTTAATTTCTTGAGTGATAATAATTGTTATTTTTAGCGAATATTTATACATATAAAAAGATATTTTGTATTTGTTTGATAATATAATTTTAATTTTTTAAAAAAAAAATAATTAAAAATATATTTATTTATTATTTTCTCTAATATTAACATGTCAGAATTATAGAAGAATATTTAAAAATTTTAATTTGATATTTTTTAGATAAAATAATAATTTAAAAGGCAAAAATACCACAATAACAAACCAATACTAACCATATACTATATTATTACTTGGAATTAAGAATAATATTGATTGTATGATGATATTATACTACTTATCCATGCTTAAACTAACAAGATGACAAACCTTTCCTTTTATGTTGAATAATTGCCAATGAGGTTTCATGGTGGCCCTCTGCGAATATCCCATAAATTTCTCAATTTATCTTCTTGTTTTCTTTTCAATTAATTTTTTTTTATTTTTTTTATCTCAATGTAGTGCTATTATTAAGTGTCTTTGTAGAAGAAAAAATGACCAAGAAAATCTATATATATTTAATAAAAAGATATTTCCTTGTAAAATATACATAATTTTTTTTTGTTTCCTCCAAATGAAAGTGTTAAATATTATTTAACAAAAACTATTGAATACTGCAATCAGTGGTCATCATGCATGGCTTAATTAGCATGAAAGCATCCTGATAATGGAAACCAGTAATTGTATTGGTGGAGGGCAGGGCAGATGCATTGAACGTGGACAGGATCTTAGCTGGATGGGTTTCTTCCGCGTGCCACCGTTTTCCGTTGAAAGCTTCAAGAACAAGTTGCTGCAACGGCTCGTGTTCTGCTCTTTTTCCAAGTCAAAACCCACGACGAGAAGTTACCGAACCACCATCGGATGACGGTCATTCTTCAGGTTCAATGAACCTGGACATGCTCTCTCTTTTTTGCGTTGATTCTTAGTTTCCTAGGAGGAATTAAAAAATAAATCTATACCGGGAATATTAATGAGCCCTGTTATTGAAATTGTTTGAGATAAAAAAAAAAAAATTAGCTTCTAGAATCTATTTTTTTTAATTCAAGATTCCTTTTATTAATTGACATGAAAGAATTAGTAGATTTATTTCGTTCAAATTAAAAATAGACCAGGATTATGCACTTATAATATACACCCCGTCGTTACATTCCATTTAGGATTAGAAATAGACATAACTGGACATGTTTATATATATATATATATCTTCTTATTTGAGATTCTATTCCCTGTTCTATTCACCCTTTTGATTTTTATTAAATGAAGAAGTAGATTTGGTTTATTTTTTTAATATAATATAAGTAAAGTATCTTTTAGATAATTCAAATTAAAGTAATTAGATATCTATGAAATGATTGATCAATAAAAATATTCTAATATTCCACCTTTATTATATATTCCATACATAATATTAGATAAATATTATATTCATAGAATACGATTTGCTTTCAAGATTTCTTGAAGGTGAAATAATAGACATGCAAAACTTAAAATCTCGTGTTAAAAAGCATGGAAGTTTGACTCCTCTTCAAGATATAATATCAAAAATACTTATTAAATATGAACAATTCACTAAGAGATCTCGGATTGAATTGGTATTGTCTCTAACATGTATATATTTATTAGTGAAATTAATTAAAATTAATTGTTTTGAAATATTTCTTTATAATCTTAATATATTAAAATATTTTAAAAAAATACTATTTTAATATATTTTTAATTAAAACCCATCTTTTACCGCAACATCAACTTACCCAAAAATCATGTTGAAAAAGTAAACTCCAGAGCTATATATTCTAGTGAAGGATCGATATACACATGGACGACTCATGTAACAAATAATATTAATTCGACATGACTGGAATATATTTATTAAATTATTTTAGATATGCGACAATCCGTCTTCATATATATATATATATATATATATATATATATATGAAGAACATATATGTATCTTCAAAACAACGTGCATTGCAAAATCTAGATTTCAAGAAATATATGGATCCCGTCAAGAGTTGACTTCTTCCAGATCTGCACAGAAAGTAGGGTCTACAATTTGGTGTTATTAATTGCATGTTGATGTACTGACAGATTGTTGTGTTAAGCCTGTACGAATTAAGGGGTGAATATAACGACGACTTATTGTTTTGTAATATTTGAAACAATCAAGTAATTTCTTATTAAATTATATTGCTATGTTCTTCATATATATATATATATTTGGTGTGGTGCCCTTGTCGCTCGTGTTGCCTGCAAGGCTGTTAACGACTCAGTATCCTTGCGGGCTACATTTACTGGAAATAAAATGAGTTATTATTTTATAATTAATTTCTAGTCAATGAATTGTTCCAAAGAAGTAAAAATTAGAAGCATATTTGCATAAATAAATTATCTTTTTTTTATTATAATTAATTTCTTAATAAAAATTAGGTAACCTGCTGGGTTTTGATTTGGATTGTCTGGCCAATCACCATGGCTAAGCTTGGATACCACGTGTTGTGGAAATTGAACTTCTTGGAAAAAGCAGCACGACGTCGGGCAAGAGCAAGGTGAGATGAGCCGTCGGGCCATGGTCGGTCTCCTGCATGTACACGCAGGAGTTGATGTGCTAGCTCGAAGAAATGGTGGGCAGATGTCCTCCATACCGTCCACCAACAACAACATTCCAACTACCATGGCCTCCGGGTTTATTTTAACCTATAGTAATTTTATCTAGAAATATATGAAAATAAATATATTTAAAATAATTTAGAGTAATTTTTTATAACTTTAAAACAAAAGGAAATATAATACTGTTTCATTTATATCTATTAATTTTGTTTTTTAATTATAAAATAGTAACTAAACATTACTTTAATAATGGACACCATTCAATTTTACACTTTAAGCCTCTAAAAGTTTATTTCATAAGCCCACATGTTTTTTTTTTATTCTATTTTTTTAAAGTCAAAATACCATGAAAAGGTCATGTTTCATTTGCAATGTCAATCGCGTATCTTAACCATGATAAATGAGATAATATCACTATGAAATATAAATACACTTTTGGAATTTGGATCCAAACCCAAATTCAATTTTTTTAAAATAAGATGGCAAAGAGAATTATATCCCTGTCTAATTCAATAGATCCTCTATTAATAAAAATACATAATTACTTTTCTAAATCAACCTAGTATAGAAATAAATATTAAATTTATAAAACACTAAATTTTATTTAATCTTATTGTATATTATTGATAAATTTATTTTAAAATATCAAAATATACCATTACGTTTGCGAATTAAAACTTTGTATTAATATATATTAGTCTGGTTATTCAATTTTAAAGTTAGATTTAAAATTAAAAATAAATTAAATATTTAAAAATTATTCTATGTTTTCTTCTAAATATATTTTAAAATATTGTAATTTTAATATGATTGATTTGATAAGTTAATTGTTTAAAACTTATTTTATGGTTTTTTCTTTTCAAGTTATGTTTTGAAATAATATAGTTTTAAAATATTTTAGATTGACTGGGGGAATGTTAATTATTTTAGAGTTAAATTTAAAATTAAATCGATTAAAGATTAAATATTGATGTGATTAAAATAATAAATATTTAAAAATTATTTTATGTTTTTTTAAATATGTTTTAGAATATTATAATTGGGATGATTGATTTGATAAGTTCATTATTTAAAATTTGTTTTATTTTTTATTTTTAGTTATATTTTAAAATAATATAATTTTAAAATAAAAAAATATTGAAACGAAAATATTTTAGATTGATCGGATTAATCTTGAACGCCGGCCGGGTTTAATAACTTTGTGTGCTCGTATCCATTGGAGTGCTAATTTTGCCAGACCTGAGCAAGACATGCCTAGGATCACAAGATCAGCAGTGTCACGGGTGAAGTGTGCAATCACAACAGAAGAGAAGCTCCACCGCAGGTTCAAACCGAAGACCCTCGTCTCCAAACGTCCTCATTTTCTCCACCGCAGAATGGCCATCTTCACGGTCATTTTGAAACGCTGCCACGGATCACTGCGTCATCACCGGTACTTATCTTAAAGAAAACCTAAATGCCTCTTTTGCTTTTCTATTGAAAATTTAACTAAAGATTTTTCTTTTTTTTCTTGTTTTGCATTGAAGTTTAAATTCATATTTTTTCTATAACTCATGAACTGAAATTTAGATTCTGTAAATTATTCTTTGATCAGCATGTCTCCACTTATATTTGTTACAAAAATCCTGGGTTAGTTTCTGAATTACAAAAGTTGAACTCTGGGTCAAGTCTGGTTTTGCTACCATCCTGTAACAACCCGATGAGCTTTTTGGAATATGGGGTTTGATTGATTTTAACATGGCAGATATTGAAATGGAGGCAACACAATCAACCACAGCAATTAATAATAAGAAGCGGAAAAAGGGAAATCAAGACTGTAAGAATAGTAATTCATCTCGTGTTTTGAGCACTCCGCGAACGCGTTCTCAGGTATCCCCGGAGTGGACTGCTAAACAAGCACTCATTCTAGTGAATGAGATTGCTGCTGTTGACAAGGATAGCTCAAAAGCGGTATCGACCAATCAGAAATGGAAGATCATTGTTGGTAACTGCGTTGCGCTGGATGTAACGCATACCCTGAGTCAGTGCCGGAGCAAGTGGAACTCTTTGGTTATCGAGTACAACCAGATTAAAAAATGGGATAAAGAGTCCGAGTCGCGGAGTGACTTCTACTGGTCTCTGGGATGTGAAAGGAGAAAGGAATTTGGACTTCCGGAGAATTTTGATGATGAGCTGTTCAAAGCTATTGATGATTATATGTGGAGCCAGAAGGAACAGCTGGATACGGATCCAGATAACGACCTTCAAAAGGCTGACTTGCTTGATGTAATTGCAAACTTGGGTATGCTTCCTCTCCGATTTAACATGCAGTAATTTAGTTGTTGCTAGTTAAATCATTGATTGGGTATGCATATCATATTGTCAGTAATTACGAATGGTGCGTTACAGTGTTTATGATCAATTTTTTTTCCCTCCTGTTTTTGTTCATTTTAGATCAATTGTCATTTTATCTTATGTGTGTCACAAAAGTTCTTTAATGTTTGATTTTGGTATTCTGCTATGAAAATCATGAAATAAAGCTACTATGGATTACAAGACAGAAGTTTGAACCTTGAAAGCTAATTTGCCTTTAGTTCTCTAACTTTTAATTTGAAGTTCATGTGTGGGATTCCATCTTGTCTGTTGTTTCACCTGGGGATATCTGATAATATTGGAACCAACACATTTATTACCATCTGCAGCTATGTTTGCTGATTTTGGAACAGTATTTGTAAGTTTCAGCTGCCTCTTCAGTACCATGTGTCTGCATTAGCTCCCCTATTCAGTTCATTTATATTGCTAACTTGCCTAGATTTTATTTTCTTTTTAGGTAGGATCCATAGGTGCTTCCATTTAAAAGTTTTTCCATGTATTTCCAAAACTACAAGATTGAAATTATGGTAATGCATTTGCCCCTCTCGGGTTACTGTCATAATGATAACTGCCTAAAAATAGAGGTCTGATTATATTGAGATTGTTGTATCAAGAAGCTTGAAATGGCTTGAATTTATGAATGCTGTAGAAATTAGGGAAGTACAATTGGTTGCATAACTGCTTAAGTTGCTTGAGCTATTGATTCTGGGCATAGTACATGAAATGTGGTGATGCTTTGTTGTGCTTGGATATATGCATGTATAATAGGTGAGCTGCTTTTGAGTAGGGTGATAGATTATATTTCCAGCTGTGCTCTTACAATCTCCTATGCTTCTCAGGGGCCAAGAAACAGAGGAAGTGGTTAACATCTCTGAAAACCCATACGGAAGAGAAGACTCACAAATGCTGCAGAAAGGAAAACTCCCAAACAATCCACGCAGAAGAAGAGCCTCAGAAAAGACACGAGGAAGAAAATTCTCAGATATACTGCACTATGGAAAGCCCTCATGGATTCCATGCTGAAGAAGAATGTCAGGAAAGTCAGGTGCAAGAAAACACTCAGACATGCTGTTCTGAAGGAAAGCTTCAAACAATCCACGCAGATGACTATCCTTGGGAAAGATGCGCAGAAGAAGAGCCTCATACAATCCATGCAGAAGAGTGGCTGCAGCCATGCTGCTCAAAGGAAAAGCCTCAGACAATCCATGTACAAGAGGAAAATCAAGAAAGATATGTGGAAGAAAACCATCAGACATGCTGCACAAAGGAAAAGCCTCAGACAATCCCTGCAGAAGAGGAACTTCACGAAATTCAAGTGAAAGAAAAGCCTCAAAAGCCACTTAGAAAAGAAAAACCTCAGATTGGCAGTGGGGATGAAAAGCCTAAAATCTACAGCGGACGAAAAAAAATGCCCAGCACAGAAGATATGGAGCAATTGATGGTGGAAAAACTCAGCGAGAATGCTGAAATGATCCAGGCTGTAGTTAATGGCAACCTTCCTGAGATGGCAGACGTCGAAGCTGCTGATTCAAACAATATCGAGGGCTTCAAAACTGATCTTATAAGAAGTCAAGGGGACAAGCTTATTGCATGCCTTGAAAATATTGTCAACACTATGAGGCAGTTCCCTTGGCTTCTCCAAGATGCGACTACTTGATGTATCTAATGTTAAATTTTCCTTTTATGGGTTAATGTAGATAGTAGCCACCATGACCGGCATCATCGGGAATAAGACTGCTCCCTCTCCTTCAGGTTTGAGCGCATTTCCTTAGTTCAAAGCCTTAAACTTTCACATGTATTGTACTGGTTTGAACGATGTAGAAATGGAACCCCGGTTGCGGAATAAAACATAAATTTGTTCTTCGAGCTATATTCTGGATCCCCCGATGAGGTTTGGCATATTTCATCTTGTGAAGGTGAAAGAAAAAGATAAAAAAGAGGTGAAGAATACGGGGGCCCTCTGGTTTACACAATGCACGACTCCACTGGGGATCGAACCCAGAATCTCTGGTTCCGTAGACCAGCGCCTTATCCATTGGGCCATGGAGTCTGGTAGCTGCCAGCGTTTTAGAACAGTGGATTCTTAAAGCTACGATACAAAAACATTCAGTTTCTACAAGATTGATCATTTGCCATTCCATGACTGTGCATGGACTAACATCTAGTTCATCATTTAACATTTTTTCAATTAGCAATCATCAAATTAACGTAAGATCCTTTATCTCTTCCTACAAAACATTCAACTGAGGAGAAACATGGAAATGTGTCATCGAACTTCAGCTAGCAATAACAAACATGAAGATCTTATTATTCTTCAATAACCATGATTCCAAGTTACAAATTCAGAATAAAGATTTAAATTTATAACATCTTAGGCATTGATGGGGTAAATTAAATAGTACCATAACAACTTCTTAAGACAAAACCACCACTTTACTCATAATCCACATCCCCAAAGAGAACTCAAAAGCAAAGAGTGTATGAAGCAATCCTCGATCAAGTGCAAATCCAAACAGTGTGATCCCGCCATTGTTGTGTTGCAAATAAGCCACTGCAATTGAGAACATTAATTAATATTGCAATCATCTGCTGTTAGATTCAATCGAATCCAGAACAAAATTTTATGAGAGGTAACGACATAGCTAATCAACTGCTCTCCCCTGCCTCAATGTCTAATCAATCCTACATTGATTCTCTGGACATACAGATTGACAAGGGTAAGTGAGAAATATTTAGGTGAAGTTTTACCCACCTAAAGCCTGCCTGGTTTGGAAGGAGCATGGATCCTGTGAGGAAATTGCAATGAAAAAGTCCGAAGAATCGGACTCGCTGTCTCCAGCATTGAATGCTAGACTCCCGTCAGCTTCCGGCACATGGTTTTTTCCCTGGTCTACCCTGGCAAATGCAGATGTAACATTCATATGCCATCTAGTGGCTATTGACACAATACCTTGAGCTCTATGTGTAATTCTTGCAGCTCCAAGTAAACATAAGAAGAATCCACTTAGTTGAACTGCTGAACATATCTGCATCAATCCCTCGAAGTATTAGGAATCATCAGTCTTGTACACTGCAAAACACTTAGTATAAAGGCAAACTTCTTACCACAAGGTCTCCGGAATTGAAGAAACTCTTCTGAGTGCTGAATCCCAAAACCAGCAACAATGCTCCAAATTGACTAACTGTAATGGTAACCAAACAGGATATGATAAAGAATCGATATCTATGGCTTGTAAGAGATAATTGCTTCTTAATCCTAACATGCTCCCTGAATATGACATCGGCACCCGATCCACAACCCTCAAACAACTTATGAAACCCTTCAAATCTGAGTATCTGAAGCTCACAAGTCAACCGAAACAGGACACAAACCAACAAGAACACCCCTGTCCTATAAACCCAAGACGCCAGCACCAACACAAACATGATAGAATTCAATGGAATACTGTGAGGACTAATATTATAAGGTAACCATATTTTGACTGTGGAGAAAAATATGATTTTGTGTGCAAGTTCGACAAAGAAAGATGGAAGCAATATGCAGGCTAGGTACCGAAAAGCCTTATCGAGCTCGCGCGAGTATCCTCTTCTAACGAACAACGAGTCATCCTGTAAGCCATCGAGGAACAAGAGCTGGCGGAGACCGTATCTCTTAAAGAAACGGAAAAGGGTAAAGAAAGCTATAAAAGCCAAGGCAGACTCAGGAACCTGCACCAGCTTGTTGTAAGAAATGGGGTCGTCAGCTGGTGCTGAGGATGGGACTCTAATGGAGAGGGAGCTTAGAATCGGGACAATAATGGCAAGGAAAATGAAAACAAAGTAGGACACGGTTTTTCCTATGCAAGAGGAATGATCAAGTGCACACCATCTAAGGCTCATTCGGAAATTGCGTAGCTCATCGAAGAGTAGTGATTTTGATCTAGCATATGAAGGTTGAAGCAACAAGGGTACATTAGCCTGCAGCTGGTCTGATTGATCGTTTTCCTTGGTGAACGTTACATGCCGATCGGAGCAATGAGCATCTATAAGGGTATCGCCAGAAGTGGTAGAGGTGTTGTTGATCATTGTTGAAGTTGTGAGGTGGAGATTACTCAGGCTGGCAGTCTGTATAATTAGGGCTGGTACTTTATAAGTGACTTGAGAGAAGCTAGCAAGAGGTCTGTGACACCATGCAACTTTTGTAGCTGTGAAGAAAGCAACGTTTCACAATATAGGAGATGGTAAACAACATCTTGCTTGGGAGTTTAAGCTAAGCATAATATATATGCTTTGTGAAGGGAAAGAATACAGATTTACTAGCACTCATTATAAATCTACAGTGTGAAAGATTCTAGCATCCATGCACCAGCTACACGGCTTTCTGACCACAAAGATGCAGGAGTCGTAGTGAAAATTAGCCGAAAGCACTTGCTGTAAAGCAGAAAGGCTTAACTTTTTCCCGTGAGCTCTCTTGGCCTTCAATGAAGTGAAAGGGAAAAAAGACATTGAATGAAGTGAAGAATAAAGGGTAGCTACTTGATCCGAGGGTGAGGGTGGACACCTCTTTTTTTTTTTTTTTTTATTTGGGTTAATTACCTTTCTTCACTTCTCAAGTCATTATCATATTCTTTGCTTTGCTTGAGATACGTGATAAACATCAACCCAGAAAATAAATACACCTTTATTAAATTTATTATTAATTATAAGATAATAATTTGTTTTCATTCACCCAAAACATAATAATTTGGATATTTAAGTACTTGGGCTTGAAATTAACGTTTTTTTGATGACCTGGACAGGTTATTCAGTCAGACACTCTTGTGTCCACATGATCATATGGAGAAATAATTTATTTATCCTTAAATTAATTAAAACCATTATGACCCAATTTCCGAGTTCATGTAAAAGGTTTTGTATCAAACTGCAAGATAACACGTAAAGACTATAATGGAATCCTAAATACAGAGCCAAGCTTAATTGGATCTAGATCGGCAAGGATTTTTTTACTTTTATTTTTTAATCCATAATGACTTACTAGAAACGGGCTTCATGCTCATAGTTTCGCCACCATAGATCAAATTGTTCAGTCAACCCTTTTCAAGCAAATTTGGCCGCGTGTGTATGTTTTAGAACTTGTGAAACATTAAACAATAAATAGGAAAATGGAAAGTGCATAATTTTAAAGATAAGGGTAAAAAATTTCAAGCTTGGCAAGTGAAAAAAAAAAACAGATTTTAATAGGAAAAGACAACAATACACTTTTAAATGTGAAGTTATTAAATATAAATGAATGAAAGAATTGAGGTAATTGCACAACCAATTGATGAGTATAAAAAGAAGAGGAAAAAAAACAGAGAATTTAAAATTAAAAGAGAGAACCGAAAGTGGAAGAAAAGGAAGAGAATTGAGGGGAAATAGAGGAAAGGAAAGAGAATTTATGAAAGTAGGCGTTTAAGGTAAGAGTTGTGTTTTAATATGTACACTTTGATAATTAGTTTTGATCTTGGAGGTTTAGGGTTTTGAAGTTTATGTTTTGGATTAAATTAATGATTTTATTGATATATTATGAATTGATTATTTTGGATTTTTGAGATACATGTTGGATTTTTTTAAAATTTATCATCATTGAAAGACTGGTAAATTGAGAATCTGGAATCTCAATCAACCGGTCAAATTGTTTGAATTTGATTGACTAATAGATCATTTTTGGTTAATCGATTTTCTTGATGATTTCAATAATTCAGTTAATAGTTTTTGATCAACCGATTGATTGTGCAATGAAGGTTAATTAATTCTCTTAGGTTTGGTCAATTTAGAAAATATCTGCTAAAATATCCATGTTAATAGGGTAATATTAGTTTTTATGTACATCATAATTTTAAACCTTAATTGGTTATAGAGTTGCCAACTTGTGGCTACTGAACATTCTACAATCTAGAGCGTCATGTTTATTAAATTTTATTTTTTAACGAGTTTTATCTTATAATATTTATTGTTATAGATTGTTATGAAACTTTGTTGTAAAAGCTTAATGTCAAATTTGTATATATATTTCTTATTGCTACACTACCTTGCTTGTGTATATTAAATGTTTTCTATTTACAAAGTTATTAAACTCATTGACATGTTATTTATCCTTTTCAGGAGCATAACTTGTTAGCTGGTAGTTTTTGTTGCACTTTATAACCTACTCTTTTATTTGTAATTAATATTATTCTGTTATGTCTAGTTAATGTTTCATAATTATAAAATTTATATTAAATTTTATATTAAGATGTTGATTTATATTATAGACTTTAGTTTATGACTAATCATTTAACTCGTTCTTCATCACGAGTTATATATTTTTTTTAAATATCAGACATGTAATTGCTTCAATGTGTTTTTTAACATAAAAAATTTAAAGTGTAAATTAAAAAACTTATGCAAATATTTAGTTAAATAAATCAATAACCATTTATATAAATAAATAAGTCATTAATAATAACAAAAAGAGAAATTAAAAAAATTAAAAGTTGAATGGATTGAATCAAAAGAAAAAAAAAATTAAAGGGATGATTTAATTTCTTGCATGATCAGCACCCAACCCAGGGAAGAAAGAGAAGGAAATGAAAGAAAGAAAAAGAAAAGAAAAGCATATGAATGTCAAACCAGATCGAACCACCATACACGTGTCATTCAAAGAAGAAAAAGATGTTGAGACGAATCAAATGATACAGTGAAAACACAATTAACATTACTGTGTTCAGCCAAATGCGTTGTCTGAAACCGCAGAGTAATTGATGCTTGCAAGACATGTATCAATGATTTTATTATTTTTTTTGGTATAAAATTAAAAAATACTCCTAAAACTAAATAATAATAACAAAAAATCTTTATGAAATTACAACCATATTTCTAAAACCAAAACTAAAAAAATAAGATATAAAGGGTAATGGAGTAATTATCTTTAATGAGAAACAAAATTACAAAAGGTTATGACTATTTACTTTTTAAGGTTAATATTATAATTGCATTGTTAAAATTAATATAAAATTACTATAACACCCCAATTCCCCTAGAAAATAACACATAAACCAATAGGAAAGGACAATAATGCCTCAATCCCAAGCCTTATGAGCTTTGAAATTCTATTGTGCAAGTTTATATTAGAATTTGTCTTGATCTACAATGCACTTACACTAGAAATCTCACGCGATTTAGAAGTTTCCTTACATGGATCCAAAAATCAAGTGGTGACACACACACAAAATTCACACACACACACACACACACACACACAATTCACACACACACACACACAATCTAGATATGCTGGACCCAATTAATTGATTTATGTAAGTTTTAGCGTCAACTCATTAATTGGGTGAATGGTTGAGTCATCACGTTTTCAATTAAAGAGGGACCCGTTTTGAGGTTTAAGAACAATGCTAATTGTTTTCAAATATAAAACATCCATTATTATTATTATTATTATTATTATTATTATTTTCTTAAAAAATGTCTCATATTCACAATTCAGTTTAAGCATCCTGGGTCAGAGGCTTTGGGGGCAGCTCGCCAATATAACTCCACTGAAACAGAAGAAAATCTCAGTGTTCTGGATGAAATGGCAATAATCTTCTTGTGATGAAGTAGAATTAGCGTAATTCAGTGCGTGAAAAGCATTTAACAAAAATATTAATTTAATATTTTTAAGGTAAAAAATAATAATAATTATAATAAAAAAGAAAACAGACTGAAGGACAGAAACAAGCTAGGGTTATACATGCAAATTAACCATCCTCTACCATTCCATATCGTCTAAAAGGAAACACACAAATCACAAAGATTAAAGACATAGAAGTCATAAATCAATGTGTTTTTCTTGTCATCATCACACTGATTACAGACTGCTTGATGCCTTGTCAACAACAAAAGACACCCACATAAATATAATCATATGATCTTACCAGGACATGCCATTAGTTACCAATCAAGAAAATCATTGTATATTATATAAAAGAAAAAACATCAAAATGGCCGGCCTCCTTGTAACACAGCTCATGCTTCTTCATAGGACGACTTCGTCAATTACAACCTTAACTTGTACCCTTTGCTTTCTCCAAAACTCTTGATTTCCTAGTCTGACACCCTCTTAACCATTTCCCATCCTCTCCTTTTAATTTGTTCAATATTTGATGCTTGAAAGAAAACTACACACATCTTCATTATGGCTCATGATAAGGTAGCTTGTTGGCACCTCATGATGCCGCTATTTTACTTTTTGGTCACGGCGAGCCATTTTTCTGTGACGTCACACGGTGCATCTGATGCTGAAATCCTTGTCAACTTCAAGAACTCCTTGTCAGCAAACTCCTTGCTCTACGATTGGAATGTGTCAGGCATTCCTCCGTGCACCGGTGGCACTGACAATTGGGTTGGTTTGCGTTGCAACAATGATGGCACGATCGATAAGTTGTTGCTTGAGAATATGGGCTTAAAGGGTACCATTGACATAGACATCTTGATGCAATTGCCAACGTTGAGAACGTTAAGCTTCATGAATAATAGCTTTGAGGGTCCAATGCCTGAAGTGAAAAAACTTAGTTCCTTGAGAAACTTGTATTTGTCCAACAACAATTTCTCAGGAAAAATTGACAAGGATGCATTTGACGGAATGAGTTCGTTGAAGGAAGTTTATTTGGCACATAATGAGTTTACTGGTGAAATTCCTAGATCACTTGTTTTGGTGCCGAAGCTAACAAAGTTGAGCCTTGAAGGGAATCAATTTGATGGGAACTTGCCTGATTTCCCTCAAGAAAACTTGATTGTGTTTAATGCTGCAGGTAACAATTTCAAGGGTCAGATACCTACCAGCCTTGCTGACTTCAGTCCAAGCTCTTTTGCAGGTCAATTCCTATAGCAACTCTATGCTTTTCAATTTCAATCCAATGTTCACCTTTCTTCTAGTTCTCATAAATATATATTGGATGCAACTGGAAATCTATTTCTGTGTTTTCCCTTGATAATTATGTGAAAACTGGTCCAATAATTATGATGGATTTGTATGTGGTAAGCACGTTGTTGATCCGATTCTTGTTGTAGAAGTCAAATTTTGGGCTGTAAAAAGAATCTCTTCAGAAACATTATGGCTGTTGCAATATTTAAGGCATTCATTTGTGTATGCATGATGCAGGGAATCAAGGGTTATGTGGAAAGCCACTGCCTGCATGCAAATCATCCAGGAAAAAGACCGTCGTAATTATTGTGGTCGTTGTTGTATCTGTGGTTGCGTTATCTGCTATTGTTGTCTTTGCCTGCATACGCAGCCGCCAAAACAAAACACTCAAATTTAAGGATACCAAAAAGAAATTTGGTGATGATAAAAAGGAAGTTCAATCATCAGATCAGTTTGGTGATGGTAAAATGGGTGATAGTGGGCAGTTGCATTTCGTAAGATATGATAGGGATAGATTTGATTTGCAAGACCTCCTTCGGGCCTCTGCTGAGGTCCTGGGCAGTGGTACTTTTGGGTCATCTTATAAGGCAGTTCTTTTAGATGGGCCTGCTATGGTTGTGAAGAGGTTTAGGCATATGAGTAATGTAGGTAAGGAAGGATTTCATGAGCACATGAGAAAGTTAGGAACATTGTCTCACCCTAACTTGCTCCCGCTAGTGGCATACTACTACAGAAAAGAAGAAAAGCTTTTGGTCTCTGACTACGTTGAAAATGGCAGTTTGGCTTCTCATCTTCATGGTAACTAAGCCTCTCTCTAACACTTTACAAATACCAAAGGGAATTGTATTAAGAAATTATCATCCACGCACATGTTTGTGCTTTTACTACGAGGGACAGACATGATTGCCTTAACGTGTGGATGATTGTTTTTTATCACATTTATCATACAAGAAATAGAAGGAAAGAGGGCTAATATTGTTTATCAAGACTGATTTGTTGATTTTATGGATTTATCTTCAGGTAAGCGTTCCCCGGGAAAACCATGGATTGACTGGCCAACTCGGCTGAGGATCGTCAAAGGAGTTGCAAAGGGGTTGGCCTATCTCTACAAGGAGTTTCCAACACTAGCTTTGCCTCATGGTCACCTAAAATCCTCCAACGTTCTTCTAGATGATACATTCCAGCCCCTCTTAACAGATTATGCCCTAGTTCCTGTGGTTAATAAAGACCATTCTCAACAAGTTATGGTTGCCTACAAGTCGCCTGAATGCTCTCAATCCGACCGTTCGAATAGGAAGACTGATGTGTGGAGTCTTGGTATACTAATTCTGGAAATCTTGACAGGCAAGTTCCCTGAAAATTATCTAACGCAAGGAAAGGGTGGTGATGCAGATTTGGCAACTTGGGTTAACTCAGTTGTTAGAGAAGAGTGGACAGGAGAGGTATTTGATATGGATATGATGAGGACCAAGAATTGCGAGGGTGAGATGCTAAAGCTGTTGAAAATTGGGATGTGCTGCTGTGAATGGAATTTGGAGAGGAGGTGGGATTTGAAGGTGGCTGTAGCCAAAATTGAGGAATTGAAGGAGAGAGACAATGACAATGATGACTTCAGTAATTCCTATGCAAGTGAAGGTGAAGTCTATTCTTCTAGAGCAGTGACTGATGATGATTTCTCCTTCTCGGTCAATGGTTGAATTGAATGAATAAAGTTAGCTCTCTTGCTGTTATTTTTCCCAAAGTCTGCATTGGAACAAGGGTTGGAGGAGCTACATAAGATGAATCGATATAGTTTGTTGCAAGTCTCTATTTACTTTGCCTTGATTCATAACTGTTTATGTAATGTTACTGATTGAGTCACATATCAGTTGTTTATGCTCTCTGTTTCTTCTCCCTCTCTCTTTTCTCCCTAACCTTGCTGCTATATGATGGTGTAAGAAAATCTTTTGATGTTTTTGACAAAATTTGGGAGGACAAGACAAGATAATAACTGTTCAAATAATTTGGTTAGGACTTCAAGGAGGATCTAATACCTGTATAATTATGGAATATACCTGGCGAGGTTAGTAGTTGCTTTCTTAACTGTAGCCTGTCACCTGTCACTACACCTGTCTGAAGATAGAGATCATCTCCATCTGAGGATACACTTGATTGCCTACGTACATATTCCTTCACAAGGGATCCTCTTTGAGTTGGGTTTATCCTCTCACACGTCTCTCTTATCCCTTCTTTTGTATTGGAATCTGACCAGTTTTCTCTCCCTCCTCATCCCAAACTCCAATCAAAGGATATCATTAGAAATACTAAGTGCTTTTGCTTGCTGTTCTTTATTTTCCAAGGTAAGTTTTAGTAGTTGGAAATTTTGTGTGATGGATAAGCAGACTTGGAGTTAGTATGCCAGGCAGTTTTGAGAGCCATCTGCAAGAGAAATAAGACATTCTAGTTTGGTTTGTTCTACTTGAGTCCTGCTTTATGATGGGAATTACTGAATCACATCCTTGTCTAGTTCTCATGATATCAGCCTACAAGGGTTTTTTATGTTCTGAGATGAAATAAACCAAAAGGAATTCCAAGGAGTTTCTTGTCATGTGTTGAGGCAATTGATTCTGTGTTCTTAACATGAACACCCCTGATTTTTTCTGCTATTGGGTTGTCAAATGCTCTCCTTTTCCAACCTTTACTTGCTAAATTGTTGCCTCGATGCTGCTGCTCTTCCTGTGATGTTTGAGGGAACCTGCTTTAAGTACAGTGACAAAACAGAAAACCCATAATTTATAAGAACACTATTAAGTCACACGATTCTAAACAAAACCATTATAATAACTGATATATTCTAAACAAAATCATTATAATAACTGATATATTAGCAAAAACTGAGTGCAGAAGAGAGCAAAGAAGCTAGACCTGTTCTAGGCCATATGCAAGCAGTTCCCTTTAACAGCTGTTAGGTTCCACTTTATGGGGGCTCAAAGCACTGACCTAATTTGACTAAAACGTATAATATTTTTTTCAGTTTGTGTTCCATGTGGTGTAAATATAGATGAAGAGTTACTATTAGATTCTTGCAGTGCCACCATTTAGACAAGTGGTCTTGCTGTACTTCTCATTAGGACAAATGCTTGCCACGATTTTTCTAAAGGCTCGGAGCATTTTAAAAATTGACATTGAGCTCATCCAATGCAATTTCAGTCCTTTGATTGCACATGTCAATCACCCTTTGTCAAAATTTGGGGGCCTAATGGAAAAAAGAAAGATAATATGTGAACCTGGTGGTTCTTGTTTCTTGATAAAATCTTGCATGTGCTTCCCTCTTCCTCGTTTATTATACTTTTAGGACGCTACAAAAGGTTTTTTTTTTAGAAACATTTTGAAATAAAGAGAGAAGATTTAATAGAAAATAATAACAATACCCTTAAAAGAGTAAAGCTTAGGTATATATGGATGAAGAACTTTTTTGTAATTGGACAAACGATTGGTAAATATATATATATAAAGCAAAGACTCAGATTTAAAGATAGAAACTGTAAGAAGAAAAAAAAAGAAAAGAAAAAAAAATTAGAAAAAATAAATTTAAAAGGTAAGATTTATGTTTTGATGTGTATAATTATTGATGTTAATTAAAATTATAAATTTGTTGAAAATTAAGGTTTTGAAGATTTTGATTTGGGCTTGACTGATGAGTTGATTGGAATATTATGAGTAATGATTTATTTTGAGTTATGGTTTGTCTAAATGATGAATTTGAGTTAGAGATTTCGATAGATAAGTAGGTGATCTATGTAAAAATTTAAGTTTGAGGTTGAAGATGATAAAATTACAGTTTGGTTTCTAGAGCAAATTAATTGAGGATAAATTATGAAAAGAATTTCAGTATAATTATGAATTTATGACATTTTAAGTTTGGTCTGATAAAATTACAATTTGACTTTTAAAAATCTGAAAAAATTCCAGATTGATTCCTAGCTGTAATTCTTTTTTAGATTGGTTTGATAAATAATTGAGGTTTATTAGTGAATTATTATCAAGTTTTATGAATTGTTTTCTTTTGAATTAGATTTCGAGAAAATCATTTAATTTTTAAGTTTTTTTTTTAAAAAAAGAAGCAATTTGCTTCATAAACATATAAGATTATGAATTAGACTCTTAGTTAAGTGTATTAAATATATTTTACATTATTTCTGAATTGTTTTTAAGTATATCTCATTTTATATTTAGAAAATCCTAATATTTTACATACGGAACATTAGTAAGATTACCTTTGGTATCTGTTTTATTATAGTTATTAAACTCGGACCGACTTGATGGGTCGACTAGGGACTCGATGGTTGGACTGGTCCAGGTAAGGTTAAAAACCAGCTTGAGCAAAATACCGGTCAAACTCAGTCGACTTGATGGGTTGACCCGTGACCTGGACAACCTGTGTATATATATATATAAACTTTTCTTTGAGCCCTAATTTCTTGAGAAAAGCAACCCTCCTTTACTTTTCTTCTCTGTTATCTTTTGTATAACAAATATTTGGTTGAGATTTCATTGGAGATATGATTGTTTATTTCTATAGGTGCTCTATTTTCCTTACACTACTTACTTTTTTATGTTTTTTTCTTTGTTGAGATTTCTTATTGCAAACAATTGCTGCAGATTTTGAATGATTCCTTTTTTTTTCCCTATGCTTTTTAAGCTCTTCTTCGGATTGGAACAAATAATTGAAAAAAGTATTCATTTGACAGCCATCCTTTAGTCACCCATGAAGAGAAACATCTGATATGATTTGTAAAGGTGAACTTTATTATTGTCGGTTTCATTCTGCATTAACATATTCACATTGAGCACTGATTGTGAAGGCATTTCCTCCATGTTGCCCTTATTATTAGTTTTTGATCTTCTTGTTGATTGATTAGCTTTGTAATGCTGAACATATGGGAAATGAATCGAGTGAGCTTTGGTTTTTTCTTCTTCTTATGTTTTATGATTTATTATGATTTTTAAGGAATCTTTTAGATTTGTTGGAAGCTAATACCATTCTATTTTTGTTCTACTACTTAAATTTTAGTTACACAAGTATTTTATTCTTCTTTCGGTTGTTTATGCTAAAAATAGGTAGGAAAAGGTAAGCTATTCATCACTGGGTTTTGCGATTTAGGGATGATGTAGTAGTTTGATTTCTTTAATCTTTATATTTAAGGAGTGGGGTTGACCCACAAAACCCGTAACTCGGTCATTTTATTGGGTCAACTACTGAGTCAGGTTTTATAACTATGGTTTCTATGTTACTTCTATTTTTGAGTTAGGTAAATAGATAATTTTTCATATACTAAAGGATTAGTATAAATACTTGAATTTTTAATATGAATTTAATTATGCTTCTTGGTAATTCTTATAATGTTATTTATTCTTTGTTTATGATTAAGCATGATCACTTATTGAAATTAAATTTTTAATATGAACCAATATATATTTCAAAATTGATAGCTCTTTATTTGATTGATGTCATCAATTGAACTTTAAGATATAAACCGATTTGTTTTATTATGATATGAACTTATAATATATCAGTCAAAATATTCATGTTAATAGGGTAGTGTTAGTCTTTGTACATATTGTATCTGAACTATAGTTGGTCGGGAGAGTCATCATCTTGCGGTGACTGATCATCCCACAATATGAAGCGTCATGTTAATTGTATTTTGATTTTCTAACAAGTCTTATCTTATGATATTCTTATTATGACCTATTTAAGAAACTTCCCTATAAGAACATAAAGCCATATATATATATATAACCTCATGTATGTATATTAAATCTTATTTACTCATCAAGTTATTGAACCCACCTTCTTGTTATTTATCTTTTCAAGCTTGTCGTAACCTATTTTTGGCCCCCCTGTAAAAAATAAAAAAAATTCAAAAAAATCTTATCAAAAAATATAAACAATAAAAAATGATGTCAGCACTCCTTAAAAATGATTAAAAATTAGTTGAGGAGGTTAAAAAACACAAAGATTAAAATTTTGGTAGTATTTTATTGACTGATGACAACCCTGTTGACAAAGAAAATTCAATTTGAATAAGAAAAGCCCAAAATCAGATGTTTATGAACTTAATTAATTTTATTGAAGATTTAATTGAATTTATAGAGAGTTTGATTGCAAGAAAAATTGATTTTAGAGTCAATTTAGGCTTTAATTGGAAGAAATTAAAGTTCTGAGGTCAAATTATAATTTTTAAAAGTTAATTTGGTCAAATCAAGGGCTTAATTGCATAAATATTGAAGTTTGATGGCCAATTATGGCCTTCGTTGAAGAAATCCAAAATCAAGGACCAAAATGGAAAAGGCGCGTAAGTAAAAGGGTTGAAATTAAAACTGGTCAGGAGCCCAATTGAAGAAATTAGAAGTTTATTACTCAATTGAGGGTCAAATTGCATAATATCAAGACCAAGGACCAAAGTGAAAAAGGCAGCCAACTATAGGGCCGCTGCTGGCTTTTGGCAGGGATGCAATTGCATTGATTTTAAATTAAAATTGCAATTTAGGACTTGATTGAAAAAATTACAAATTGAGAAGCAATATGAAAATGAACATGTTTTTGCCGCCTTCACATTTAAATGAAACGACGTCGTTTCATTCACTGTTTAATAAAAAAAAAAAGAAAACACAAAACGGTGCCGTTTTGAACGACATCATCATCTTCTTCCCCTAGACATGGAGAGAACAAGGGAAAAAAAATTTTGTGTTTCTCCTCTGTTTCTTACCGACTTCCCTCCCCCCAATGACTTTAAAAAAATGCCAACTTGCCATGCTTTCCATGTGTTGAAAAGGCGGTGG